ATCTCGGTGGAGATCTCTAAGATCTCGGTGGAGATCTCTAAGATCTCCGATTTCTTGGATCTGTGACACTGCTGTGAATCAGCTACTAGTTTTCGTTAGCTATTTGGACCATGAAAACTTTAATTATACCACTGGATAGAGCTCGTCAAGTTACACCTGGATAAGTGTAAGAACCTGTTGCAAGGGCCTGGGCGAGTTGCTGATATGTTTACTATAGTAGTTTCAAAACTCTTATACTGACCTATCGATATTTCGGATTTTTCGAAGACATAGATTGAATTATTGAAAGTCTAATTATACTATTGAATAGAGCTAGCTAAGTTGTACTTGGAATACTGATTTAGAGCTCTAGAACAGGCTCTTGGATAATTCGTCGTTGAAATTATTCGAATTCGTTACTAACTTCACTTTCATCTCGTACAAAAGTCTTTTCCTTCCCTTTCTTATTATGCTATCATACTTCAAGCACATCAAATTTATTACCAAGTAAAGATACGACATAAGAATTTTAGTTCAATGTAATATACCGATCATACTGAGATAAAACTCTCATGTCAGATCTTTGCTTGGTAATAAATTTGATGTGCCTGAAGTATGATAGCATAATACAAACGAAAAGGACAATACTCTTGTCCGGGGCTGTATGTTTTTAAAGTCATGGAAGTCACGAAAATCATTTTCAGTCAATTAAGTCAAAAAAGTCATGAAAGTCTGTGGTTTCCCGCTTGGCGTGGTGTGTGGGTGGATGCTTGAATTCATGGAGTGTGTAGGATTCTGTGGGTGTGGGGTCTGATGATGTGGAGTGAAGGCATGTAGGCTAAGAAAAATTTTGCCATTCACACCTTCAATATCAATCAAACTACAAAATGGGTAAAAGGAAGAAATGAAGTGAATTTTCAGTCAAATCTCTGCGATGTTATCAACTTCATCCTAGCATCACAGCAATTCATTCTACTTTATTCTCATCTCAGAAAGTTTCGTGATTAAAAATATGAGTAAAAGAAACTTTTCGAATTCAATCATACCGCCTCACACTGATGCCATTATTGAATCTCAAAGAAGAAACGCAAAATAATCAACAAGCTTTCTTTTTCAACCAAGAAAAGCAATGCACATTGTTGCTTAGATACTGAAAGCAACATATATATATATTACACATACAGGAAGAAAAAGAAATCACGTTTGAAAATTTATTGAGATTCATGTGCTCTAGGAATGAAAGCACCTGAAAATAATTTATTACTCCATTAAATAAAACTGAGACAGATTGGGATGTTGATTGTTGTCTCATTATCAGACAGAGCCTAATCTAGAAAGTTTGTTTGCATCTAGCTGAAATTTGAATAGCGTAAAAAATGATTATGAGGCTCAACTTCTGGCTTTGTATTGAGACTTCTCCACTCCAATAAATGAAAATACACTCATCATAATAATTGACTTTTGACGACATGGATGCACTATATTGTAGAATGAATTCACAATCGAAAATGAGCGTGAATTAAATATAATCATCTCTGTATATAACTTTTGATTACAGTTAATTAGTTCATTATCAAAACGATTGGTTATCGTCTCAGGTTGATAATCAATCTGAAGTGTAAATTCGTGTCTAATATTTCTCTTGCTCTATATAGACGCGCACAGCTACCTATATCTACACTCAAAATCTCAGCCAGGCAACATATTAAATTGACTTGAGAACTAACTGACAAGGTTACGCATTGAAATGGTATCCGATCTATTTGGTAGGTATGTGTGAGAGTATGAGTGAAGAGAAGAATCCGATTCTTATATACACACAAACGCACATGCTGCTATAAATTGAACTAAAATCTAGATGAAAGATTTTCCTCAAAAACGTTTTGCCACAATTTTTTGTCACAATCCTGTTTTCAACCTAAAACATATCGTTCTGACACGGTACCAAGTGGTGTAGAATTAATGCATAAATTTGCATATTATGTAGCAAATCTTCATTTTAACACTTTACTTCTCATTTGTTCGAACTTACATAATTACGTTGACATTTCTCTTTCTCGGCGTTTTCTACATTAGTGAATGATTCCACTGTTTCTCGGCAAAGCGGACACTTGTTACCATTCTCCTTAGCATAACGTGATATACACTTGACATGAAATGTATGCTGGCAATTTGTGGTGAACACCAATAAGCCGCTGTCGAGTTGGTTCCTACATATTGTACAATTGTTTGATTCCATGTAATTGACTATGATTCAATGAAGTCTGACAGAGGTATGAAAGGACAATGCTGATTTTTTTCTTTTAAATACGAAGTTCACGAAGTTCAAGGAAGAAATACTCATTATGTTGGAAGAAAACGAAAACAGAAGCAACTATATACTTGGAAAAAACCAACTGAAGAAAAAATAAGCCATGTCAGGAAAGAATAATAATGATCAAACGAAACTGCAACCAACAGATATTTTCTAACACGATGGTTGTTTTGCCAATGATATTTTTCTTTTTGTTTCATTTGAAATGAATCGCTAAAGTTATGAGAAGCATTTCCGACGACTTATTTTCGCATGGTTCCATTGGGCGTTTTTAGAATGTGAGTTCACTGTAAAAAAAAGAGTAGAAGAAGGATGTGGGGTGTGGCTGTGGATGTGGATGTAGGTATGGGTGTGTGGTGTGGGTGTGCATGTAGTTCTTGATCATCTATATACCCACACCCAATACCCTTTCACATTATCTCAGGACCGATGTTGGTGCGTGGGTGAGTGTATGGGATGAGCATCTGTGTGGTGCCGCTTTGGATCTGCTATCATTTCACACTCATACCCACAGACCTCAACGCACCTACATC